ACACACACACACACACACACTTTCTGACATAGAAACAAGCTCACAAACGAGCCGAAAGCGACACTTGTGACTGGAAATATATGCAGGGCATGAGTACAAACACAAAGACAAAATTGCAGACATACTGACAGAGACACGTGCCAGTGCGATGCGACACATAAATTGGGGGATGAATTATTAACTGTCGGAAATATCAGAGCACATGTTGGGACTGTTGTACCGCAAAACAGAAAGCCATTAGAGAGGAACACAAACGGACTCTATGCATGACAACAAGGCAACGATACAGAGTGCTGTAAAGAGACATGGCACTCTCCCATATACATTGTAAAGGACTTATTTAAAGAGGAACTGCACATGTTTTTTCATATAGTGAAAACTCATATAGTAAAGTTAATAATTCAATTAGTCGATCAATCAACACGTAATTTCACACAAGACAAATTGTGTTTTGCCCTTTATTCAACAGTTCAAACAAAAAGATACTTCTGTCTCAATAATGACTCAGACTATGTATACACCACAAGTAGCTGACATATCAAAGGACTTGCATTACAGGGTCAGTTCACCTGAAATACAAGAAAGAGAAAAAAGGTCCACCTTCACCTCGAATGATGTCTAGCAATGCAAACAGTTTTGGATACATTTGCCTTCATCAGCAGAAATGGCTGACGTGGATATCAGCTAGACACCACCACAGGCGGTACAGAAGGGAGAAGGTATGAAACAACCCTGACAGGTGGCCCAGGTGCAGATCATCACATGCAGATGAAATAAATCACATAGAGCGTGTGGTGATGATGGATCTGTCATGACCATCAATCCCAGCGCTCAGCATTGTCCACCTGGCCAACTGTTACATTGTAACTAATCAGAGAAGTTAAGACGTCAACTAATTCCATTCGACTTTGATGTCTGAGGCAAAAAACATAAAATTAAACAAAACCACAAAAGAATAGCGCGTTAAAACAAGTTCAAAAACAGGATGAAAGAAGTTTGTGATGAAGATCTGGAGATATACCGTCAGTGACTCTTATTCAAATACTTTAAAATGAAGGATACCAAATTATGATCAAGCTCTTTACACAGAATAAAATGAGACATATGATAAAGTAAGCACAATTCAATCTATCAAAACAAGGATGGACAACTTTATAACGTACAATATTTGGAAATCTACATTCTCAGCACTTTAGCCCACTTTAAAACAACAACAAAATAAAGATGCTGGAGAATCACACTGCAACTCAGCATGCTGTAAAGTCACATTCATCATCCTCTCACTTTGTCCTGGTACAGAAGACCAGAATATGTTTTTCACCAGTATCAACTAGCTGCATTGTGCTCAACTTGTTTCTGTGGAACAGTTACACAGACCAAACATTAAGATCCAAAACACTCATTTACCGGACAATGTCAGGCTGCAGCCATCAATCAGTGAACAATAGACAAAGCGTGTAGAATGTTCCTGAAACAGTTACACACAATGTAACAGAAATATGAGACAGAATATGATACTTGAAATAATTTCCAATTAAAATTGAGTGTAACTCGGGTGTTATTTGAAACCAATAATTGTACAAAAAGTGTCTGCTAGGTCTGTCATTACCCATGGGGTTATTCCTCCTTCAATGACAGAAAACACTAATATCAACTAACTGTGTAGGTGTTACCGACGCGTTATCATGAATCTCGCTTTCTCTTCTTCTTTGGGTTCATTCAACTTTGAAGAAGAGCATATGCTGTATGTCGTAAGGGATCTAACGAGATGTCGCTGTATTCACCCGCTTCAAACATACGTCCTCTCCCTTCTGCACAGTCCTCTTCTAGTCTGCAGTTACTCCATCAGTACAGTTTCTCTATGATGAAGGCCAAGATGGCTGCTGCCAGAGTGAGCCCGATTCCCAGCTTCTTCAGTACTTCCCTGTCCAGACTGTGCGAGCCGATCAACAGAACGGATGAAGAAGGCATAGATGAAGCAGGATCCTGGATGCCATTTGCAATCGGTTGCTGTGGAGGCAAACATACAGAAAAACAATTGAATTAGACGGAGATAATGTTTTGATGTGTCCTTTATTTATTTCCTCCAAAAGTATTTTACACATCATATTGACTCACAGCAACCTCTGAGGTCAATTGTTGTATAACCTAAGCTACTGTAAGCTATGTTATTGAGTTTAGTCTTGGGCTTTTATTATGAAAGGTAAGAAGAGAAGGAGTGGATTTGATATGCGCTGCATATGGGGGGTGGGGGGCTCTAATGATTGCCCTCTTCGGCAGAGAAATAAAAGACCCTGGATCAGCTACAGGGATTCAGCTTGCAGTTATTCAAACTGCACGGCACATGTTTACTTATGTGAGGGTCTCAGTCCGGTCTCCCTGCTCATCAAGAAAATGAATCTGTTACATTTCAGATAATGTCCACTTACAGAGATCATGAATACAAATCTTTTGGTGGTTAAAAATTTCAATTAAAATAGCACAAATTATCTTATCAAGAAGGCCACCATGTTTAGCGCGTCCTACTTCCTGTTGTAGAGGTGGAAGATCTGAAGCTGCTGGTGAGTAGAGTTGAATGTGAATACTCCTCCGACGCGTGCAAACACAGCATTGCACACAAAGGCCCCGTCATTCTCCCACACACTTTTGGACACAGAGTTCGTTGCAGCTCGTAGCACAAGCTATGTCCATAATTCATAATTAAGGGATCGTGTTTAGATTAAATCAGCTGGCCACAGTCACAAATCAAACAGCGAGGCCCGACAGCAGAGTGGCCAGTGATCCAGCGAATTAAATGTCTGTAATCAGTGAGTTCTGTTTAGTCCTAATGTGTTGGATCATTAAAAAGACATCCATAACTGAAGGGATGTGACAGTGACAGGACAGGAAAGAGCAATGCTGACAAGAATTGAGCAGGAGGAAAAGATAAATGTCAGTGCAGGAAGAGGAAGAGAAGGAGGACCAAACTCAGTTGTTTAAAAAAAAAAATATATATATATATATATATATATCTGTAGTTTATTTTGCCACATTTGTCAACCAAATCACAATCTACTCAGGTTTCTTCATAAAATAGCCATTTATGTGAGGTGGTGCATGACTATCCGTCATGGATCATTGCTGCTGATCATTATTAGAAATATATCTGTTGATGCCACCTGACATTAGGATGTAGCGCCATCATTTAGGCGAGCAAAGGGGAATTACAGGGCCTTAGCATGTCTTCCACTTTCCTATCTCTCTCTACAACTCTGTTTCATTTGGAAATTACAGAAACAATAATTAACACAATTTTAAATTCACTGCTCATTTGGATAGTTTGTGGTTGGAAGCATTCATAAAGCCAGCTATTTGCTTATGCAAATGAGTGCATTTCAATTACGGTGCCATTATCTCTGTGTAAAGCAGTTAATGCAGTTCTCTAGTGATCCAATTATTACAGAGTGCTGTCTATTGAATCAAGCTGATGTTGAGGAAGGTGCACTGTGATGGAGTTACGTATGTGAGCTCGGGAGAAGTTAGCTTACAATGGAGGTAGAGCGCGGCTGAGACTGTGGTATTGCACGAGTTAATCAAAGCATTTTCACGTTGCTTTGCAGCAATCTTTCTATAACAAATATATAAATACATAAGCAATTCTGTCAGAGTTGAAGTGTGCACCTAAAGCAAGGACTGCTGTATGTGTGTTTGGCATGTCGCCAATGGTCAAACATAAAAAACCTGAACAATGTACATGAGCACATGGTGCGGCTTGTTGAAGCAACACGAAAATAAGATGATAAGAGCAACATAACAGTAAGCACTCATTTTACATGAATACTTTCTCCCTGACCTCCCTCATTGAGCATCCTTCAGCTTTATTACACATTAATATAGTTTTATCCTAATGTCTGAGAGTGCAGACCTGAAGTGCAGTTTCAAGCAAAGCCAATTGATTACTATATAAATAAATAATCCTACAAAAGATGTGTCTCTTTTAATTTGAACGTTAAACAAATTGGATGGGAGAACCACAGCACTTCCTATACGTCTCCTCCTGCGTGACAGTTAGAGTTCCGTATCACCACGAAGGTAGATTATGTTGGGCGGTATTGAGCGATTGATCAGCGGCCTTCCAGAATAACCTTTAATCAAGTTCACTAGGGATAGCTGAATGAGGTTTGGCTTTGATATTTACCATAGGCAGATTCACTCCGAACGTTCTCTCTCTCTCAAGTATCTCCATTAAGTCTTGTTTACCGACCTTCTGTCTCGTCTGTTTTTTATTTTTTCTCTCTATGGATCGCCAATGACAGGTCTGGCCGTTTTCTTTTTCATCCTCCATCCTTTTTTTTTCCATGTAGGAAGCTTGGCCAACTTGAGGAATTCTGTTTACCATTGCCGATATCTGGCTGTGCATGTTGTGTATGTTTGCCATCTTGTAGAGTTTAGAAGTTTTTATGAGAAGACAGAAAAACTCGCAAAAGGAAAAACAAAACACAGGACAATATGTTGCTTTGACAATGGAATAAAATATATTAAATACAATTCCTTTGTGTCTAATATTTATTAATGCATGCAGCTTCAAAATGCACTATTCTCTTAATATTATATTGCAAGCAAAACAACTTTCTCTCCTAGTGTGACGGAGCTACGTAACATCCGCTTGTTAATTTAGTCTTGGAGGACGGAAAAAATGATATTTCAACTTAGGATAGCGATGGCGTCTACAGTTGCCGTTATTTCCTGCCAGCCTCAACTCATTTCACCATCCTCCTCTCGCTCCCTTAAATCATATCCGGTTTGCCGTCTACTCTCTGCCTGATTCCATGTGAATGCAGCATAAAAGCACGACAGATTTAGTACAAACACATGCCTACAGTTTGTATTTGCATGTAACAGAGAGTTGGTGCTCGCCTACACGTGTTGCTTGCACATGGCCGTGTGTATGAGCAGCTGCACAGCATCTGTACTCTGCCTTACTATCCTACACATTACTCCTGCCCCCCCTGTCCTCTCAGATCGTTGTGAATGCTACCTTGCCACCCACTCTTCTCCTCGCCGCTGTGGCTGAATGCTTTCCTCTGTTACCACACACAATGGAGGATGGATACTGTGACCAGCAACGCCTATGTGACACATCTAAAAGTCACTTGCAGTAACTTTAGACAATAGGTGGCGGGAGAATCACTAACAGCGGTCTGGCTGATGTATCCACTACAGTAGGATCATCGGTGGACTCTCTAATGGATAAACTGATACGCTCTTTTGATGCTTGAAAAACAATAAGGGTGCATGTGTGCTACTCATGACTGAGCCTCTTAACTGTAAACATGTGATCAGAATGAATACAGGTGCTTCTGTCACGAGTTCAAATCACTGATCCAATCTCATCAGCAATAACATATTTGAAAAGTACTCTTCCCCGAGGTTACACTGTATGCCTTTTAAACGTTGGTTTATTCATTAAAGGATTAATGAACTCACAGTGTAAGAAAAAAAAGAGCGAAAAGTTGGTTCATTCATAACAGGAATAAGTGAATGAGAAATAATTCCTGTAAAGACTTGATGAATGAAATTCACCGAGTAGGGCAAATGCCATGTCCTGCTTACGTGAGTAAGAACAGGAGCAAGTTATATAAGCATTATTATTTTATGGAAACAAAAAGAGAAATGTATTAAGAGCAAAGGGCTGGTGAAATAGAAAAAAAAAGTTGAGTGTCAGAGCCATTATACTTCTCTACATTGACAGGCCAAGTGTGCTGCCTTCCTCTCTATCCATCTATTTATCAGTCTCTCTGCAGGTGCCCTCTCACAACAGGGCGCCAGGCGAGAGACTGAATAGCACAGTCTAAAATCTATTAGAAGTAGGGAGGATAAGTGAAAATCCAAGTGGCAGTAGGTGCGTGTTAGCACAGTGGGGGAGAGGGGAGGAGAGAAGAGAAAAACGGAAAGGAAAAGATGAGAGATTTGGCTTTCAATGATAGTTCACCACCTGCTAGCTGGCGGGCTGAGTTTGTGCATACGTCTGTGAGAGAGAGAGTAAGAGAGCTGGCATTTGTGAGTAAGTGTGTTTGTACGTGTAGGCCTGTGGTGGAGAATTTCTGTCTCTGCTCACAGCAGTAGAGCAAAAATAATCCTCCTGAAAAGCATCTAACGCTACACTAGGGGGACGGACTGGCTAGCACAGCGAGATCCTTTTCCCTCAAGGTCTGGGACTCTCAAACGTCTCTCTGTCTTAAAAAGTCTTGCTCCAATTCCACGCGTGCACCTTTTTTTTGAAAGAAAAATCTGTCTGGTGCAGCCTCCGCCAACACACTGGCATATTCACACAAAGATACACACAGTGACACACACTAACGCATCACGAGAGCCAGAAAGCACAATACACAGTGGTCACATTTCTCACATGATCCTCACCAGCTGTCAGCGTCGCTCTAGACACAGAGACCATGGAATTGGTGTGTGTGTGTGCGTGTACGTGCCTAAACAGATACTGTAACAGGCTCCTTAGTCACGGGTGATTTGACAAAGCCATAGTGACAATCACAATGAGCTGCAGCTGCATTTTCAACATAGACGGATGGGAGAGAAATTAAGAGTGATTACAAGTAATATTTCTGAAACAAATACAGTTGTGTGAAAAAGTGTTTGCCCCCTTACTGATTTCTTATTTTTTTGCATGTTTGTCACACTTAAATCAAACAAATTTAAATATTAGACAAAGATAACACAAGTAAACACAAAATGCAGTTTTTAAATGAAGGTTTTTATTATTAAGGAAAAAAAAAAATCCAAACCTACATGGCCCTGTGTGAAAAAGTGATTGCCCCCCCCCCTGTTAAAACATAAATTAACTGTGGTTTATCACATCTTTGGAAAGCTGAGTTCAATTTCTCTAGCCACACCCAGGCCTGATTACTGCCACACCTGTTCTCAATCAAGAAATCACTTAAATAGGACCTGCCTGACAAAGTGAGGTAGACCAAAAGATCCTCAAAAGCTAGACATCATGCTGCGATCCAAAGAAA